AGAGATAAAAGTTCTAGAAACTACTCAGGCAGAAATAAAAAGGCTATAACCAAGATGCACAACAGACTGGATGTAGTGACCACAAGGATGGAAGAAGCTGAGGAGCAAATCAGTCATACAGAAGTTAAAATTATGGAAAATAATAAAGTTGAAAAGAAGAAGGAAAGAAAAATATTGGATCACGAATGTAGACTTAGGGAACTCAGTGACTCCATAAAGTGTAATAACATTTGTATCATAGAGTCCCAGAAGAAGAGGAGAGGGGAAAGGGGCAGAAGGTTTATTTGAGGGTATTATAGCTGAAAACTTCCTAATCTGGAGAAGGACGCAGACATCGAAATCCAGAAGGCATAAAGAAGTCCCATCAAAATCAACAAAAGCAACCCAACACCAAGACACAGCATAGTGAAATTTACAAAATACACAGATAAGGAAAGAATCTTGTAAGCAACATGGGAAAAAAATTCCTTAACCTAGAAGAGAAAACAAATCAGGTTTGCATCAGATAGATCCACAGAACCTTAGCAGACCAGAAGAGAGTGGCATGACATATTCAATGTACTGAATGGGAAAAATATGCAGCCAATAATTCTTTACCTGGTAAGGCTGTCATTCAGAATAAAAGGAGAGAAAAAGAGTTTCCAGGACAAACAAAAACTAAAGGAGTTTGTGACCATTAAGCCAGGTGTGAAAGAAATTTTAAGGGGTCCTGAGTAGAGAAAAAAAGACCAAAAGCAACAAAGACTAGAAAGTAACAGAGAAAATATCCAGAAATACCAACTTTACAGTTAATATAATGGCACTAAATTCATACTTATCAATAATCAGTCTGAATGTAAATGGACTAAATTATCCAATCAAAAGACAAAAGGTAGCAGAATGGATTAAAAAAAACAAGACCTATCTATATGCTGCTTATAAGAGACTCATTTTAGAACTAAAGACACATACAGATTGAAAGTGAGGGGATGGAGAGCCATTCATTGTCAAAAGAAGGCCACAGTGACAATACTTATATAAGAAAACTAGATTTTAGGGGCGTCTGGGTGGTTCAATGGGTTAAGCTGCTGCCTTTGGCTCAGGTCATGGTCTCAGGGTCCTGGGATCAAGCCCCACATCAGGCTCTGTGCTCAGCCGGAAGCTTGCTTCTCCCTCTCCCTCTGCCTGCCTCTCTGCCTACTTGTGATCTCTCTCTCTGTCAAATAAATAAATAAAATCCTTAAAAAAAAAAGAAAACTAGATTTTAAACCGAAGACTGTAAGAAGAGATGAAGAAGGGCACTATATTGTAATTAAGGGACCTATCAAACAAGAATTTCTAACAATTGTAAATATTTATGCCCCCCAACTTGGGACCTAAATATGTAAATCAAACAACATAAAGAAACTCAGTGACAATAATACAATAATACTAGGGGACTTTAATACTCCTACTTAGAACAATGGACAGATCATCTAGGCAGAAAATCAAAAGTAAACAATGGTTTTGAATGACACATGGACCAGTGGACTTAACAAAGATATTCATAACATTTCATCCACAAGCAGCAGAATACACATTCTTTTTAAGTGCAGACAGAACACTCTCCAGAATAGATCACATACTGGGTCACAAATTAGGCCTCAACAAGTACAAAAAAGATTGAGATCATACTGTGCATAACAGACCACAATGCTACAAAATTTAGAGTCAACCAAAAGAAAATTTGGAAAGACCACAAATTCATGGAGGCGAGAAAACATACTAATAAGAATGAATGGGTTGACTAGGAAATTAAAGAGGAAATAAAAAAGTACACAGAAGCAAATGAAAACACACAGCAAAGGCAGTCTTAAGAGAAGTATGCTATAATACAGGCCTACCTCACCAAACAAGAAAAGTCTCAAATATACAACCTATTCTTACATCTAAAGGAGCTACAAAAGAAGGAAATAAAGCTTAAAGCCAACAGAAGAAGAGAAATAATAAAGATTAGAGCAGAAATAAATGATATAGAAACAGAAAACAACAAAAACAAAACACAGTAGAACAGATCAATGAAACTAAAAGCTGGTTCTTTAAAAGAATTTAGAAAATTGATAACTCCCTAGCCAGACTTATCAAAAAGAGAAAGGAACAAATAAATAAAATCACAAATGAAAGAGGAGAGATCACAACCAACACCACAGAAATACAAACAATTATAAGAGAATATTATAAAAAGTTATATGCAATAAATGGGCAATCTGGAAAATATGGAAAAATTCCTAGAAACATACAAACTACCAAAATTAAAATAGGAAGAATTAAAAAATTTGAATAGACCCATAATCAGCAAAGAAATTATATCAGTAATAAAAAATGTACCAGGGGCACCTGGGGGGCTCAGTGGGTTAAGCCTCTGCCTTCGGCTCAGGTCATGATCTCAGGGTCCTGGGATTGAGTCCCGCATCGGGCTCTCTGCTCAGCGGGGGGCCTGCATCCTCCTCTCTCTCTCTCTGCCTACCTCTCTGCCTACTTGTGATCTTTCTCTGTCAAATAAACAAATAAAATATTTTAAAAAAATGTACCAACATCAAGGCATTAATCCCATTTGCAACTGCACCAAAACCCATAAGATACCTAGGAATAAACCTAACCAAAGAGGTAAATGTTCTGTACTCTGAAAAGTATAGAACACCTATGTAAGAAATTGAAGAGGACATAAATAAATGGAAAAACATTCCATGCTCATAGAGCATAAGAAACATTGTTAAAATGTCTATACTACCCAAAACAACCTACAATTTTAATGCAATCCCTATCAAAATACCACCAGCATTTTTCACAGAGCCAGAACAATTATGGAACCACAAAAGACCTGGAGTACCCACAATGACCCTGAAAAAGAAAAGCAGAGCTGGAAACATCACAATTCTGGACTTCAAGCTTTATGAAGCTGTAGTCAAGACAGTATGGTACTGGCACAAAAACAGACATCTACATCAATGGAACAGAATAGAAACCTTAGAAATGGACCCTCAATTCTATAGTCCACTAATCTTAGAAAAAGCAGGAAAGAATATCCAATGGAAAAAAGACAGTCTCTTCAATAAACGCTGCTGGGGAAATGGGACAGCCACATTGCAGAAGAATGAAACTGGACCATTTTCTCACACCATACACAAAGATACACTCAAAATGGATGAAAGACCTCAATGTGAGACAGGAATCCATCAAAATCCTAGAGAAGAACACAGGCAGCAACCTCCATGACCTTGGCCATGGCAACTTCTTGCTAGATAAATCCCCAAAGGCAAGGAAAACAAAAGCAAAAATGAACTACTGGAACTTCATCGAGATAAAGACAGTAAATGAAACAACCAAAAAAACACTAAAAGGCAATGTATGTTATGGGAGAAGATTTTTGCAAAGGACATATCAGATAAAGCACTATTATCAAAAATCTATAAAGAACTTATCAAACTCAACACCCAAAAAATAAATAATCAGTTAAGAAACAGGCAAAAGACATGAACAGATATTTCTCCAAAGAAGACATACAGGTGGCTAACAGACACATGAAAAGATGCTCAATATCATTCATCATCAGGGAAATACAAACCACAACCATGATGATATGACACCTCACAACTGTCAGAATGGCTAAAATTAACAACACAGGAAATAAGAGGTATCGGAGAGGATGTGGAGCCTGGGGAACCCTCCTACACTGTAGATGGAAATGCAAAGTGGTGCATTCACTGTGGAAATTAGTATAGAGGTTCCTCAAAAAGTTAAAAATAGATCTACCCTATGATCCAGCAATTGCACTACTAGGTATTTAACCACAGGATACAAAAATACAGATTCGAAGAGGCACATGCTCCTCAATGTTTATAGCAGCATTATCAACAATAGCCAAACTATAAAAAAAGCCCAAATGTCCATCTACTGATGAATGGATAAAGAATATGTGGTGTATATATATATATATATATATCACATATATTGTGTATGTATATATATAATATAATGGAATATTACTCAGCTATCAAAAAGAGTAAAATATTGCCATTTGCAATGATGTAGATGGAGCTACAGTATATTATGCTAAGTGAAGTAAGTCAGGGAAAGACAAATACCATTTGCAATTTGATTTCACTCATATGTAGAATTTAAGAAAGAAAACAGATGAACATATAGAAAGGGGAACAAAAAAGAGAGGGAAGCAAACCATAAGAGATTCTTACCTATAGAGAATAATCTGAGAGTTGATGGAGGGAGGTGGTTGGGGTATGGGCGTTAATGTGGGCACTTGTGATGAGCACTGGGTATTATTATATATAAGTGATGAATCACTAAACTCTTTTCCTAAAACTAATGTTTTACTATACGTTAACTAACAGATATTTAAATAAAAATTTAAATAAATTTAAATAAAATTTAAATATTTTTTTTGAGATTAAAAAAAAGAAAAACAACAAAAAATATACAAAAAGTTTAAAAATTCAAATATAAATATCAGGAAAAATTCCATCATTCAATAGCATGCACATACATTGCCATGTAGTTAATGAAAGAAATATCTTATATGGCCAAAATCTTTTAGAATGAGAAGCTCATATATAATTTTGCTTTTTCTTATCAGAAAGATTAAAAATATATTTTAAAGCAGAAAATAAGATGAAGTTTTGTGGGATTTTCTTGGAAAATAAGATGAAGTTTATTGTAATTGGACTAATGATTTCATGATCTGATTTTTACAAAAGAGCCCCATGTGTCTGCAAATTAAATATATGAGTCAAATAAGAAGTCATAAGAGAAATTACAATTGAATGACAATAAAGTACTACATATAAAAATCTGTGAAATCCTTTTAACATGATATGTAGTGGAAGATTTATAGTCATAAATTCTTATTTTAGAAGAGCTTGATGGTTACTGGGCTAAAAGTCCAGAAGATAAATTTGAAAAAGAGCAAATATAACGCAAGTGAAGAAAATAATAAAGATTAAAGCAAAAATTTTAAAAACAAAATATTCAATGGTGAGGGTGATGAAACCAATATCAGAAAATACATTAGAAAATTGATTACCGTAATTTATCACATGGTTACACTCTCAAATTAATGGAGAAAAACTCCATATTCCTTCATAATTAAAAAGTCTCAGCATACGAAGGCTACAAATGAACTTCCTTATCTTGAAGAAACAAATCTAAAAATGGTGAAACATTTGTGTAATTCCGTTGAAAATTCAAAAGCAAGAGAAGAAAATCCGCTATCACTGTTACTCTTTCTCATTGTAGTGAAGATCCTAGCTGGCATAGTGAGACAAGCTAAAAAATAAATATTGACGAGAAACTGCCATTATTCACAATATAATTAATAGATAATCTCAGAAAATTGGTAAATTATCAGAAAAAAAACAGAATTCAGAAAGATTGTGGCATATAAAATCAACATGCAAAAATATCAATCGTTCCCATTTACCAGCCAAAAATCAGAAAATGTGGGGTTTTAAAATTTTTAAGATTTTACTTATTTATTTCACAGACAGAGATCACAAGTAGGCAGAGAGGTGGGGGGGGCGGGGGGGAGTAGCCTCCCTGCTGAGCAGACAGCCCGATTGGGGGGGGGCTCGATCCCAGGACCCTGAGATCATGACCTCAGCAGAAGGCAGAGACTTAACCCACTGAGCCACCCAGGTACCTCAGAAAATGTGGTTTTAAACACATGTATACATTTCCCAGTAACAACAAAAACTATAAGGTAATTAGGAGTGAATCTAACAAAGGAGCTTATAAGTTACATTATTATTATATGGTATATATGGTTTCATATAATGTAGAAAGTAAGTTTCTATTTTACCATTTGGTGCTAGCTTTGTTTTTTGTTTGGCTATTTCTTTTTATAACTCTTATTCCTCTTCCTCCCTTACTAAGTTTTTTTGTAAACAAATAACCTTAAAAAACACAATTACCTGGTGCAGGACATCAGAAAAAAGCTGGGCAGCAGTGTCGATAATCATCATTGTCTTCACTAGACAAAGCATTTTATAAATGCACCAAGGAAATGGAGTCATTCTGCAATCCCTCAGAGACTGAAAAATAATAAAGTAAGGCAAAATGATTTCTTCTGTTATGGTCCATCTCTTTCCCCTGGCCTCAAGTCCTTATGATCCACCATGCTCTCATTTCTATATAATAGAAATATTATTCTATATTTCTGTATAATAATATTCCTGTATAACAGTTAAATGGATATTATTAAGAGAGGTCTATTGTAAATTAAGAGCATAAATATTGGAAGCATTTTAGAACAGGGCGTAGCACATAAAAATGTTCAGTAAATATGTGCTATTATTACTATTTTCGATGATTTGAATCACTAGAGGAAATTATGTAGCTCTTGAACTTTTTGCCTTGCACAACCTCCTTTGTTTTGTATCTGAGCACTGCTATTCCTATGTCCTACCCCCTACAACCATTATCCTTTTGGACACTGAAGTAGAGTTGAGGCAAATCAGAGTGTAAAGGAATGAATGACTGGATGCTTTCAAGCAAAACCAGAGCTCATTCTTTTTCTATGCACTATCTCTAAGTCCTAAGTCCAGAGCCTCCTTAGTTTCCACTGTTATCCTAGCATTTATTGACCTTTTTATTCAAATATCTGTTTCGTTCCTACCATTTACCAGGCATTATGCCTTGTCATCCATTCCCTACAGTTTCCGGCACAATGCCTAGTCCTTTTCAAGGGCTCCGTAAAGGTTTATTGCATGAATGAAGAAAGGATGCCCTGTTTCCTTGGATTACAAGAATCTGTAAGGCTTGGGTCAGATTTGGTTTCCTTTTTTGCATTCTAGGTCATCTAAATAAAAGGTTGTTTCTCTGATAGTAAAAACTGGACTCCTAAAATACATCATTTGATTGAAAATCTTCAACAGTTACCACCACTTTTGGATTAAACTGCATACTCTTTAGCATAACATTAAAGGTCCTGCAACACTCTGTTGCACCTCCAAGTCTTTCTCCTTGCTTCTTGCTTCTCCACGCTTTTCACAGAAGGCTGCTTTGGGGCTTTTGTCCTGGAAACACCAGGCCTGAAAAGCATTCTCTCGCTTTCCACAAGACAGATGTCACTCATCCTTTAAGGCCCACCCAAAGTTCCCCTTTCCTTTTTGATGGGTCATGATTACCACCAGGCAGAATGGCTTTGTCCATCCTGAGTGATCCCTGCATACCCCAAACAAGCACTTGGGTTTACACTCACCATAGTGTAACTTTTTTTTTTTTTTTAACTTGGTAAATTTTCCTGCCACACACAGAGAAACATACATTCCTGGAGACTTACTTTAAGAACACTCTCTGTCACCACAGGAATTAGGCCTGTTAGCATAGGAATGAGGCCTTCCATATGTTATTGATCTTGAACCAATGACATTTTAAAATGGGAAAGTTTCAGATATACACAAAAATAGTGGGAACAGCATAATGAATCACCCAGTTATGATCAACTCATGAACATTTTGTTTGTAAACCCCCACTTCGGCCCCACTGAATTACTTTTAAGCATATCAAAAGATTTAAATCTAGTTCTTAAAAAATATAATAATTATCACAGTTAATATATTAAAAATAACTACTTAATGTCAATAAATATCCATAATTTCACCCAAACATATTTCGTGAAAGAGCTATTTAATGCCCCTTTTTTGTTGTTGTTTATTTTGTTTTTCCACTTTGAAATCATGGAAAGAATAGAGAAAGAGGGAAGAGATCTGGGAAATTGCATAATTAAGTTGCAGAGAGCCTGGATGTTCAAGATGAGAAAGACTCTGACCTGGTTTGGGGTGGGAGAAGTATATTCCACTACTTCTCCGGAGGAGGAGGGTGCGATTTCAGGCCGGGTGATGCAGGAGAGGGTGCGGAGGGGAGAGGGTTACTACCTCCGTTGGGGGTTCCTTCAGGATAATCCCACCGTGGAGCTAGGAGACAGCGCTTTTTTGGAGGCCTGGTTTCCCGCGTATTTCCAGGTGGGAGCGTGGATGTCCTGGAGGCGCAAGGTTGGTCCCCCATAAGGATTATAAGACTGGGCGTCAGCTTTCTCTGGTGGGCCCAGCGAGGCCGAGACTTGAGATGGCGGCCGGTCCCTTCCAGGCACAGAGCTTCCTCCCGGTTTCGCGCTTACCGTATTTCCTGTATCCTGAAACGCATATCCCCTCTCCGCCTCCGTCCTCCCCTCCCTACTCCACCCTATTTTAATGTTTCTACAGGGGAGGGTCTTAAGACGAGGCGTATATTTAATATTTAATGTTTTTCCTCGGCTCGTCCCCCACCAAGTGTAACTAAATCTATGTTCTGTTTTATACAATCTATGCCATTTTAAGATTAAAAGAAATTTAGATTTACTCCTAAACGGTAAACTCTGCATAGATTGTGGAAAAGCGCGGAGCGGGGAGGGAAGGTGCGCAGGTGTGGGGGAAGGGAGACAACAAAAGCTAAGGGCTTTACTATAGAGTTGCCTATGCACAACACAGAGCCATGAAACTATTTAGGACCGTTTAAAAAGCAATATGCGAACCTGATAGTTGACTCAAGTGCAAAATAGCACACCAGCATTGACCATGGTAATTGAATGTGTAAAATAAATTCACCGTATGTCATAGAATGTAATGTCACTTATTTCTTTGCATTTTAACAATTTAGAAATCTCTGAAGGCTTACTTTTTAAAATGTCTAATATTTTTTAATATTTCAACATCTACAAAATTTCAGTTGATGAATCTCAGTCTCAATTGATGGAATGTCATACTTTAATTGGCAATATTTTTGTTCTGTTTCCCAGAGTTATGGAAAATTATAATTCACCTTACTATATGGTGTATTATATTCTATGATATATGGTAATTAATCAGAAAAGGGTGCGCTGTGTTTTAGAAGAAAAGGCTACTGGAACTTCTTAAACCTTTCTCATTCACGTCCATCCCCCTTTGGCTATGCACAAACTAGACCACAATTTTACACCACTGTCCTTAGCGTTTTATAATAGAGTTCAATCCTTAATGTCAAGATAGAACTGACTTTTAAAATACCCTGTTAGGGACGCCTGGGTAGCTCAGTGGTCTAAGCCTCTGCCTTCGCTTGGGCCCTGGTCTCAGGGTCCTGGGATCCAGCTCTGCATCAGGCTCTCTGCTCAGCAGGGAGCCTGCTTCCCCCTCTCTCTCTGCCTGCCTTTCTGCCTACTCGTGATCTCTCTCTGTCAAATAAATAAATGAAATCTTAAAAAAAAAAGTAAAATACTCTGTTATTTATAAGCTCTGTGATATTTAAGTAGTCGATTAAACACTAAGAGCTATAGTTTCCAGGAGATAATAATTTCTTCCTTTAAAACTGTTGCCATAATCAGGCTTCATGTATTTAAAATACTTGTTAACCATGATTGCCTCTCATCTTCACTATCACTGCCTTCCTCTAAGTACCAGTGCAGCCCTTTACACAAACTAAATACTAAATAAAAGTTTAGGAAATAAATGACCCTGTGGTTTTCTATCAAATGTTACCAATAAAGAAAAATACTGTAGCAGTGGGTTAATGAAAATATGTGAAGGGAAATCAAGGGAAGCAATACTTTAGATTTAGAAAAGCTGTTGGGACTAGATATAGCATGTGGGAATCACCAACATAAATCTGGTAGTTGCACAGAGATGCATGTTATCCTCAAGAGAAAATATAAAGAAAAAGGAAGCGGGCTAAAACAGAATATTGAGTAATTATAGACAGAGGAAGAGTAGTCTACTGCAAAGACTGAGAGAGTAGCCAAAGTCAAAGGAGAGGACTCTAACCTAGTGTTTCTCACTTTTGGCACTACTGATATTTGAGGCCAGATTCCTCTCTGTGGGAGGGGCCTGCCCTGTGCTTTGTAGAATGTTTAGCAGTATACCAACATAGGGCAGTAGCACATCCTCACCACCTGTAAAACCAAAAATGTCTCCAGACACTGCCAAATGTCCTCTGGGAGACAAAGTCATCCCCACTAAGAACTATTGGTCTATTCCTAATCTACCAAGCTGGCTCCTTTTCTAGTCTTATTTCAGTGAATGTCATCCCTTCTACCCAGTTGTACAAGTCAAACCTTATTACTATGCTTTATACTGCAGACTATTTCATTATTTTCCAAAGTAAGTGAAGTAACATTTTTGCAATCTTTTCAGATCTGCTTCTCAATCTGTAAAACTAGAGACTTTAAGAGCAAAAGTTGAAATTAAGTTGTTTTATAGCCACTGCTTTAGTAAATTAAGATAAATGTTGCCTATTTTAGTAAAATAACAGAAATTAAAAATTATATCAAATCCAGATGTGTTATATTTATGGTAAACATTTGACTTGTGAAAACAGTCTCAATGTAAAGCTGCTGCCATCAACCTGGACTATTTATATCTCAACTGGATTTATTTATTTTTATTTTTAATTGTGGTAAAATAAACATAAAATTTTCCATCTTAATCATTTTTAAGTGTACAGTTCAGTAGTTGAGTATATTCACAATGTTGTACAACTAATCTCCAGAATTTTGTCTTACTCATTAAACAATGCCTTCCTTTTTCCCCTCTCCCAGTCCTTGGTAACTACCATTATACTCCCAACTGGATTTTGTTTGTTTATTTTTGTTATACTAAAATGGAGAACTAAAACCTTTTACAGCTAGGTCTCAAAAGGATTTTTCCCCATCAGCTTTTCCAAGTTAAACTTTTTTTTAAACATTGTTGAAATAGGTGAATGTGAATCATGAAACCAAAAGAGGACACCTTTAGGCTGAAGGGCTAGCATACCAGATTTGAAAAGTGTTAGAGATCTGAATTTCTTTCATAATTTAAAGTGCTCAAAAGATGACAACAGATGTGCAAGAGGGGAGTGTTTTCTATAAATGGTGATGGAAAACTGGATAGCCACATGAAAAAGAATGAAACTGGATCACTGTTTTACACCATACACAAAAATTTCCTCAAAACAGAGTAAAGTCTTGAATGCAAGGCCATAAACCATAAAACTCCTAGAAGAAATCATAGGCTGTAAGCTCCTTGACATCAGTCTTGGCTATACTTCTTTTTTTTTTAATCTGGCTCCAAAGGCAATGAGAACAAAGGCAAAAATAAACAAATGGGACTACATCAAACTAAGAAGCTTCTGCATAGTGAAGGAAACCATCAACAAAATAAAAAGGCAATGTACTCAATGGAAGAAAATATTTGCAAATTGTATATCTGATAAGGGGCCAATATCCATAGTGTATAAAGAACTCATACAACTCAATAGCAAAAACAAAAATCTGGTTAAAAAATGGACAGAGGATCCTAATAGACATTTTCTGATTTCTTTTGGAAATTAACTTTCATCTCAAGGCCAAGAAGTTTTCTCTTACATGTGCAATTATAAAGGACTTCTTTCTTAATTGTTTTTAAATACCAATCTCAGGAAAAAACCATGGAGTTTTTGTAAGATTTTCATAAAATGGAAAATAAGAATGATTTGGAGTGAGACTAGACATATGTTTTATTTTGTTTTATTTTATGTTTTTAATATAATGTTAAACTAGAATTTTTAAAATAATTCTATAAAATAAAAATAAGGAAGCAAAAAGATCTATTCGTTCTTTGCCTAGAAAACCTCCTTAAATGCTTGGGGGAGATGAGCAGAGTGTAAATTTGTATATGTTGACATATGCAGATACATGTGTGTGAGATGTATGTACCTGTATACGTGTTGTTTTTTATTTCAAAAAGGTGATCATATAATCACAGTTTTTGAACATAGGTTTTTGGTGTTTTTAACTTCACCATATAGCTTGCTGCTTTTTCCATATAATCTTGCTTCTCATTGTTAATTTTTTTTAATGGCTGCACACAATCCCACTATATGCACTTACATTGATTTTTTTGTCCATATTCCATAAAATTCACCTTATTATAGTATGTAATTTGACATGTTTAAGTATATTCACAAAATTGTGCATCTATCTCCACTATTTAATTCAAGAACATTTTCATCAATCCAAAAAGAAACCATGTACACTTTAATTATCACTTCTAATCCTCCCCACCCCAGCCCCTGGAAACTACTAATTTATTTTCTCTCTCTATGGATTTGTCTATACTGGACATTTCATATGAATGGAATCATATGATAAATGGTCTTATGCATTTGGATTCTTTCACTAAGCATATTTTTCAGGTTCATGATTTTGTACAATGAATCAGTGTTTCATTTTTAAAATTAAAAAAATTATTATGGTACATACACATAACAAAGTTTATTTTTTTATTTTGAAAAATCTTAATCATCTTAATAATTTTGAAGTGTACAGCTCCGAAGTGTTAGGTGTTATGCAATGATCTCCAGAAGTCTTCATCTTGCTAAATGGAAATGCTATAACCATTAAGCAACAACTCCTCACTCACCACTGCCCCTAACCCCTAGCAACCACCTTTCTACTTTCCGTCTTTATGAGCTTGATTACTCTAGTACCTCATTGAAATAGAATCATACAATATTAGTCTTCTTGTGAATGATTCATTTTGCTTTGTATAATGCCCTCAAGGTTCATTCATGTTGTAGCATGTGTCAGAATTTTCTTCCCTTTAAAAGGTGAATATGTGCCAGGATTTCCTTCCTTTGAAAAGCTGAATAATATTCCATTGAAAGTATATACTACAGTTTATTCATCCATTCCCCTGTTATTGTACATTAGGGTTGCTTCCACGTTTGGACTATTGAGAATAATGCCTCCAAGAACATGGGTATACACATATCTCTCGAAGGTCCTGCTTTCAAGTTTTATGGATATGACCCAGAAGTGGAATTAATGGATCATGCAGTAATAATTCAATATGTAATTTTTTGAGAAAACACCAAAATGTTTTCCATAGTGGCTGCACCTTTTGACATTTTTACCAAGAGTGCACAAGGGTTTCAATATCACCAGGGCAATATCACCTTGCCAAGGATTTATTATTATTATTATTATATTTTTATTTATTATTATTTGATATGCATCATTTTTTTGCTGTTTCTTCACAGTCATTTATGAAAAATGAAGTATGATTAGGGTGCCTGTGTAGTTCGGTCAGTTAAACATCAGCCGTCAGCTCAGGTCATGATCCCACAGTCCTGGGATCAATTCCCAC